TATTTTCATGTTTATCTGTCTCTTAATTCTTTTCTCTTGCTGATTTATTTTTTTCTCCTCCTCCACCGCACAAGCTTTTTTTATTCCTTCTACCACTGTGATTTTGCTCTTGCTTCTGTCCCTACCCCATATATTAAAAGTAAGGAAGGACCATGCACAGTGCTAATATGTGAGCCAGTGGGATCCAATAGAATCCTAACTAATTTGTGCTGCTTCTGCTTTGCAATGAGCAGGACTTGACAAATCATGTAATCTACTCGCCGCTTGGCAAGCCCTGGCAATGAGTAAAATGTCACATTTCAGACTGGGATGCTTCTCATGCAGCCCTTACCCTCAGCCCCCACTGGAAGAAGATGGAGGGTTGTGAAGCACTGGGATGGGTTACCTAGGGATGTGGTGGAATCTCCATTCCTAGAGGTTTTTAAGTCTCGGCTTGACAAAGCCCTGGCTGGGTTGATTTAGTTGGGACTGGTCCTGCCTTGGGCATGGGGCTAGACTTGATGACCTCCTGAGGTCTCTTCCAGCTCTATGAATAAGCACCAGATTAGGGTCCTGTGTTCCTAGCCACTGTGGATTTGGAGGAGTGGGGGGTCCTATTACCTTTAATGGGGTGGGATTTACACTTTAATGAATGTTTACATTGCCACTAATTATCAAGGAAGTTTAAAGTTTAAGAACAAAGTGTTTACTAACTTTTTTAATGAGTCATATATCATCTCATTTAAGAGACATAAATAAGGTACAAGAAACCCCTGCTTTACAACGGCCTGAGTTGCGACCCCCTGCACTTACAACCATTTTTGTAAGTGTGGAAGGGGCCAAAACCCTCCGATTTAATGTCCTCGACCCGCATTTACGATGGTGCACGGCACCTATTGTAAATGCGGATTCGAGTTACGACACCCCCAACTTGTGATGCTTCCCCAGGAACCGATTGCGTCACAAGTTGGGGGCCGCTTGTACAGAGAAGTTGTGTTGTTGACATTCAGCTTATATACTGGTTCAATATAATTGTTTGACACTGATACCTGTAATGGGCAATCTAACAGTTTTCTCTGTGTATTAACCAGATCTTATTTTACTTACGCATTCCATTAAGTAAGCAAACTTTTAGAAATTTTCTTTTCCTGTTGCAGAGATGGTGCCAAATGATGTTCAGTCTGAACTGAAACACATGTATGTGGCAGTTGGGGAGCTACTGCGACACTTCTGGTCCTGCTTTCCTGTTAATACACCATTCCTAGAAGAAAAAGTAAGAGGGATTTATGGTATAAACTGGCTTTTATACTAGAAAGTTTAGCAACAATACCATTTTGGATGTGTGTTTATTCAAGCTGAAGTGTCATGTTGTAAGTGATGGGGCGTGTATATATAACCAGGGCTCAACAAAGTATTGAATCTACTCACCCGTGGTGAGTAGATTTCAGCTGGGCGCCCTGTTCATTTGCGGCATGCGCAGTGCGGGTCTTGCGCAATGCGGGGCTGGGGAGCGGCTTTTGCCGCCATTCATCAAGCCCTGTATATAACTCTGCATGTTTTTCCTTTCACTCCTAGTGATTATAGCCAGAAAGTGACTGAGCAGATCTGCTCCCTCTGTGTAATGGGAGCGTGATCTGCCAATGCTATTGCCTAACACTGGCTATTGCTGTCCTGCTCCTGTTAACTTTGCAGAAATGATACAGAAAAAGAGGCTGAATTTTTGTGGCTCAGGAACTGTCAGTAGAATCATTACCTATGTTCCACTTGTAGAATCCTGATTACTGGTAATAGAGCCAGAAAAAAAATACATTGTGCAAGATTAGTATAGTAATATCTCACACACACAAGCATTGTGCCATTTAGGTCACCTTTCAGACTATAATTGCACTTCAAAAAAGCTAGCATATGGGACTAAGAATGAGAAATAAAGCATAGGATTCTAGCTCTGCCACGGTCTTCCTGTTTGATCCTAGGCAAGTCATTTAACCACCATGCCACATTTTTGGATTGGACAAAGTAGGCTATTGTATGAAATGGAAACACCTGTTCAGATGTCTTGGGCCTTCTGCTGCAAATTGTTTGTTTGTTTGTTTGTTTGTTTGTTTGTTTGTTTGTTTGTTTGTTTGTTTTAAACTCACAATATGCTGTTGAAGCAGAGAGAATGTGTAAAGTATTGCTGACAAAGATATTCTAGAAAATAAAACAGTAAAGTTACAGCATATTATGCTTCGGTAAACAACTTAAGCTTAAGAAAAATGAATAGACATTTACTGTTTATTTCCATATGTTTGAATCAGAGATTCACATTTTCAATGCAGTAAGAATTTCCTAGCAATTTGTTGTAAGTATACATATTTACAGAAATCCTAGATACTAATTACAAGGGTATTTCAATATGCAGGAGCAATTTGCTACAAGAAAAGTATCATATGAAGAAGTTTGTACACTTTTCTCCTATTGATCTTTTTCAGGTTGTGAAAATGAAGAGTAACTTGGAAAGATTTCAGGTTACAAAACTCTGTCCATTCCAAGAAAAAATTCGGAGACAGTATTTAAGCACAAATGTAAGGGGAAAATATCTTATCTTAAATTATTTGTATCCATATTGATCTTTAAAAAAAAATCTGGCTCATTTATCACAGGATGGCAGATTTTGCTCTTCTGTATTTGGGGGAGGGGTAATTTATCCTGTTGAACATCAGATGTATATTTAATTTTTCTAAAGTGTTTCATTATCCTCATGCCACCTACCCATCTAGAAAGAAAATGACCCAGGGCTGATAGAGAAAAGGATGTAGGATTATTCCATACTGAATTTTTTTCCTTAAACGATTTTTCAAGTTGATAGTCTGATTCCTCAGTGACTGGATGAATGGCCTGGTTAGCTAGTTTCCAGTTACTATAGTAAGTGCTTTTAAGTACATCACTTGATCATACGTTGTCTGCATATTTTCCCTTGAACTAGCTAACTGCATATCCACTGTCTTTACTTGAGGGTGTGTCTAGACTACTGAGTTTTGTTGACAAAAGTGGACTTTTGTCGACAAAACTATACCAGCGTCTACACTACCGCTGAGTTCTGTCGACATAACGTCGACAGAACTCAGCAGTTTTGTCGATGCTGGTAAACCTCATTTTACGAGGCATAATACCTTGTGTCGACAGAGTTCTGTCGACAGAAGGTGTTATTGCCTGTAGAGTTGTATCTAGACTACAGGGTTTTGTCGACAAAGCAGCTTGCTTTATCGGCAGAACTGAATGTGTCTAGACGCTCTATGTCGACAGAAGTTTTGTCGACAGTATCTGTCGACAAAACTTCCATCGACAAAACCCTGTAGTCTAGATGTACCCTGAGATTCTTGACCAATAAAACTTTGAAACATTGTAGAAAATTCTCCTTTCACATCACATTCCTTGGTACAACTCCCAGAAAATCAAGCCCATTTATATTTGATCACAATAAGGGCACACGTTTCTCATATACTGGGACGATCCCTTTGTTTTATCTTTCAGTTGATAAATCATATAGAAGAGATGCTGCAGACGGCCTACAATAAATTCCACACATGGCAGTCCCGACGTATGCTCAAGAAAACGTGAAGATTCATGCTATGAAGGTTGGAGAGGGAAATCTGCAATAGCAGTAGGAATGCAACCTGGCAAATGTGCATATCTTATATATTGCAAATACATCTGCAATATGTGGATTCCTGGAAATGTTGCTAACTGACCATGCACATATTTTTGGAAAGGACCTGTGATTAAACTTGAAACTAGGGAGAAATTGAGAGAGAACCAAAACAGAAGAGCTGAGAGGGGAAAAAAAAAAAAAAAAAAAAATTAAGACGCTGTTTACTGCAGTTACTCAGGAACTGCTTTTGATTTGCATAAAGAGCTGCTTTTCAGAAATAAACTTTAAAAAGGGTGTATTAATAAATTCTGAAATTGTTTGTCTATTTTTTTTAAAGGTGTATGGCACAGGGTAGAACTTAACATTTTTCTTCACTGGATTCTGGTATTTTATTGAATTCTGTTTGTATTTACTGAAACAGGTTAACAATGACATTTTAAATATAGCGGACACTGTTTTTGTTTCAAACATCTGAAGAGATTAGTTATCAGAAGACAAGTTTCTGCCATACGTTGCACCACAAATTGGAAGCAACAGACATTGCACTGAAATCTGTTTTGGGTTTGGAGGCCGTAAAGGCACAGAGGGGAGGTTATATTTCGCATCATGTCTTGGATTTTTATGCAGAATATTTCAGTCATCAAGTTTGCATGTTTTCCTTTGAGTACAAGGGTTGCTACTGAATTTTTAAGGTGGCATCTGTTTTCAAAAGGAGAGAATGCGTTTTTAAAAATAAAGTTTCTTACTAAAGAACTAGAAGAAAAGTCACTTATTTTCATCTTAGAAGAAAAAGACTCTTCCTAAATCTGCTTTTCTCCACTCTTCCTTGTTGACTGTTACACTATTTTTGGCGAATTGATAATCATTGCAAAAGAGTGAAAAGTTATGTGAATACGCAACCTCCTGAGAGAGATCTTGAATCTGTGCCATATTTTGTTCCAAATAGATAAACTGTGAGAGTTGATCATAAGACCTACCTGTCATGTATTAAATATTTGACTTAGACAAAGTAAACCTGTTCTATATTAGTAGATGCAGTTTAATGACACACAGTATTTTATTTGTTTCATTTTGATAATTAACAAAGACCATGGTATGGGCTACTGCCATTTTGACTTGGGTTAAACGTGACTGTTACAGAATTAGGATGCATTAACTACACTGAGACATCAGAATGACTCCTAATCCTGAGTATCTGTGTGCATTTGTGTATACACGGACATGCACAGTTGCAGAATCTGTCTGTGTCCATGTTCTGCTGCTGCTCCCTTGGGAGGGGAGGAGGATTTTCTCATTGAGTGTGTCAGCTATATGCTTATTATATGCAATGGTTTCGGGTTGCTTAGTCCAATAAGGGTTTTGGTACAATCAGAATTCGTCTCTGTCTGCACTGATGAAGCCTTGTTCAGAAATGTAATAATGCATTGTTAACCTAGCTTTCTTCAATCTGCCCTTGCAGATAGGTGCATGGTTATCTGCTCTGTGCTAACTACAGTAATATGATTCTGCTACCACACACAAAAAAAACCAATATTTCTTCCCTTACATGGTGAAAACTATAGGAGGAAGTAGAGAGAGCCAACTTGCTAAAAATGCAGTGTGTGTGCTCTAGTAATATATTGTCTGTGTGTGTTTAAAAAAAAAAATTACTTATTCTCAAACTAAAGTAAACTTAATTCATCCCTGCTCTAATTCCATTGGATTTTAACAGACTCATACTAGGGAGAAATATGACCCACAATAGCCTTTAACATAGGATACCTGTCAGTGTCAAATCTAGCTTGTAAAAGAGCCACAAAAAAAGCAGGATGCTTCAAAGTAAAGACACAAAGGGGCAGGGTTTTTAGAGTACAGTACCTTTCTTCATGGAGAAGCTTTCATCAGGCCAGAGTAACTGTCTCTGAAACTATGATAAACATAAGCAAGATTGCACTGAATTTAAGCAACCCTGTTGGTTTAACATTAGAAAGGTAGGCTTTTGAACATTAAATTAAATGGCATTTAGGGTGAAGAAACAGAATTAACCATTCTTGCAAATGTTGTTGGGCAAAATATTTTAGTAAGTTTCACAGCATATGCACTCTGGCAGCTCCTTGCCTTGCAATCGTTGTTTGAAGGAGGAATATGTTCCTCTTCCCAGGTCCTTAGGCTTACATATATACCAGAGAGCTCATTGATACCTAAATATATTGTGTGCTCTGAAGAAATGTTGAAAGCAGCAGTGTTGTCCAGGAACAATGCGAGTGAGGCTGCTATGCACTTTGCATATTGCTCTTTCAAATATTTTGGCAATAAAAGAGGCAAGCCCCTCCTAAGGTAAGGGATGCAGTCCCCACTCATGCAAATTGAAATGCTCCTTCCTCGAGATACCTTTCTCCGGTTTTGTCTCCCGAGAGCATTGATTTAAATAATTTTGTAGCATGGTCCAAAAAAGAAAAAAAAAAAGAAAGACTTGATAATTCCTTAACTGTTTTGAAACTGAATCGTTCACTACCTTGCATTATATGCTAATTGGAATTTTTTATACTGACTTGTATTTTTAAAGGAAATTCATACAACTTGTATCACTGGCATTGATTCAAAGTATTTGTAGAATAAACCCTACTGAATTCTGCAGTCAAGTCTTCTCTAATGCTTCAAGCCTGTGTATTTGTGATGGTCAAACAAATCTAAAGCAAAACACGCTGCCTATGGGTCTGAATCAGTGGAGCTGCATATGGCATAATAATCAGCTGTCTTCTTGGCAGTAGAATGCTTTTCAGAAGAGGACCTATTAGTGGCCTAGGAATTCTCTTCAGTCTGTCACTGAAATATCTTTTGAAATGCCTCATTTAATTTTTAAAGTTAGGAAACATTTTATTAGTGATGCAATAGTAGAGTACAGTTTTCCTGTTGCTACTCCATTATGTCATAATGACTTTTCCCAATCAGTCGTAGAGCAGCTATTGGATAAGAGGACATGGGTGGTATATTAAGTGCTTCCCTTTTAAGTCTCAGAGCCTTGCTGTAATATAGAAAAACCTTAGTATTACACTAACATAACACCTTAAAATACCAAAATACTGTGCAGCTTTAGGTACTGTAACAATTGCATTATCTGGCGTTCAAATATAGGCTTCCAAGGTGGAAGATGGCAGTGACTTGATAGCAGGTACTAACCCTAAAATGAGAATGAAAAGGGAAGAGCTTTTACCTATTGAATTCTTAATGGCTCCAGTAACTTAGTTACAGTGGAATCTGACAAAACAGGACTAAACCGTATGGAATCTTTGAGAATGGGGTTGGGTCCTTCAGGTGGAGGCCTCACTAAAAGATGGATGCTATGCTGCCCTCAGAAGCACTACCCTAGCACTGAACCATTGATTCAGAGGAAAGCATGTCATCTGTCCTATGGGCAATGCTACTTCTGCTGCACCTGTGAGTTTTGTTGTCCAAAGTCTAACTTTTCTTCTTGTGATCCTCTGCAGTTTCTACACATCTGGATTCCTGGCTTCTTTTAATATAGAAAAATCAACTTTTTGGTCATGAGTTAGCTTGATTTAAAATAAAGTTGTTCTAGGTTTGCTCACAATTATATGTGAAATAAATAAATTGCAATACTTTTAAAGTCACTTCCACCACCAACCCTTTCATCACTGAGAAAAGAAACTGTGGTCTTCTCTCAAAACCTTCACAGGGCAATTTTTTTTTTTTTTTTTTTTGGCAGCATAACTGGAAAGCATTTGGATCCAAGGAAGAGAGCCAGAATCTGAGTCTTCAAAAAGACTCCTTGTCAGCCCTCTTTCATAGTGAGCTTCAGTGCCCCTCCTGACCACACTAGAGGCAGAATGGCACAGGGGGCTGGGTGATCTCTCCAGTAGGCTAATCCTGGGCCACTGAGGGCTTCACAGATCATAACCAGCCCCTCACATTCCACCCAGACACCAATAAACTGCCAACACAGATTCTATAGCACTGGTGTTAGATGCCCCCCCACCCAGTAATGAAGCCACTGTGTTCTGTATCAACATTAGGCTCCAGCTAATTTTAACGTGTATCCCAGAACTGGCCAAAATGCGATCTCTCCAATTCAGAGGAAACACTGCAAGGTTGGATCAAGTCAGACTGGATCCACATTTTTTCAAACATTTCCCCTGAACCAGAAATCTCAACCCCAAAATAAGTCATTTTGAAGATGCAGACAGGTGATATATCCAAAACCAAGTTTGCTCCACAAGATCCGGATAAGTGCTGAGGGAAAATGACATTGTCCGTTTCCTGACTGCTATGAGCAGAGGTAAAACTGACAACATTGATTTCACTCAACAACTAGAGCTACCAAGTTGTTGAGTGAAACAACTACCAAGGTCAGGGACAACCCTGCTATGCAGACTGCTGGAGGCTAGGGACCTCGGGACTTTCAACTCTTGGGCTGGAGGCTGGGGACCTCGGGACTTTCAACTCTTGGGCCAGCTGGCCCCTGCATTGAAACCTGATACAGTGGGACTTTCCCCGAGCTATAGACCCTGGAAGATTGGGTTCCTCAGCAAGTTGTTGGGTTTCCCACAAAAACCTTCTTTGCAGGCAGGGGTCCACTGGAGCACTTGCATTGAACCCTGTAATGTTTCCATGAAATATTTTGGGTTCAACAGACTGACTTTTCTGATCAAACTGTTCAGTCAGAAAATTTCCAACCAGCTTCCATATAGCCCCATGCAGAGTGCATATGATGTAATCTTCATGTAACAAAAACGCATGGATAAGTCTGGAAAAGTGACAAAATCCTAAGGAGATGCAGAGGTAAAAAAGTGAGTCGGTCATTACGAGTTGGACCTCCCTCATCTGGCACCCTTATGACCTGACTAGTCCCAAACCAAAGAGTTTGCTGGCTCAGGGGAGGACAATGACAGCCCCTCTGCTGCCAGACTCTGGGCCCTGCACCCTGCTCCCAGCCACCAGCTCAGCCCTCTAGTCCCGTAACCTGCATAGTCCTGTTCTACCAGTCCCCCTCCCCCCAGGAGTACTCCAACCTGTGGGGTCCTGACAATGCTGGATCATGAATGTTTCTGGACCAGATAGTCCCGGACTAGGGAGGTTCAACTGGTACTGTAATATGTAATAAATGGCACCTGGGAAGAGATCCAAACGCATCCCTGCATTGTCATTAATTGCTAGTGTTCGCAAACTAGTCAAAGAGAGGAACTGCTATCTGTAGAGTTTAAAGCCAGAAGGGACCATTAGATCACTGTGTCTGACCTCTTGTATATCACAGGCCATTCAGTTTAAAATCCTAGAAACAAAGGGTTGGAAGGGACCTTGAGACATTGAGT